GATAAACACTAGCAACAATACAGGCAGGAGAGGCATGGGCGAGTCTGCAAACCGCCATGGTAAGCGACATGCAATCGTGCATAGTCATCGGACGGCCAAGGTGGTGCCCGGCTCTGCTAACTAGACAAGTGGCAGCCAGATCAGACCGCCGACGGCGGAGAATACGCTCAGTCTTCATTTGCATTCGAAACTGGGCGCCTGAGGGCACATGAGGGATGGCAGTGAGAACGAGATAATTATCGAGCAAATGCGAGAACATGCTAGACTTGTACCAGGAATGGTGGCGCCATAAATAAATACAATCGTCAGAATCGCTGAAACCATCCAGGAGGTCCCGAATTTCGAAGAAGGCAGGAGTGGTACAGGCCAGCCTATACAAGGCCGCACGGGAACACACACAGGAAGTCACAAACCTCGCAGGGAAACCACAAGCTTTTTAAATCGGTGAGCATGCCAGTCGAGAAAGCGTTGCGAGGGGCAGGCGTTATATTTTGCACAGCAGTGTCAACAGCACGCAGGGCCTCAAGAGACGGGCGGTAGTACTGCATGACGTGCGAAAAGACCGAGAAGCCCACCGAGTTGAACTGCACAATGCTCTTGGCGAGCCCCAGGGACAAGTGCTTGATGGCCCGTGCGCGACTGATGCACTTGGTGGTGGGTGCAATCCAGCTGTCAAGATGGCCAGACTGGCCAAGAATGATACCAAGGTACTTCCCTGACTGCACAAGACGAAACGACCACGGCATGAATCCAGCATCAAGCAGCTTCTGATGGATGAACCCGTCGGTGGCGCTCAGGACTCGTATGACCACTGTCTCAGCGAGGTTGAGCTTCAAGCCTGATGCCCGAGTGCCGAAGTTCAGAATGGGCAGCGCGGCTGCAAGGGTAGTGAAGACATCAGCGCATCCCACCCCTAGGTCATCGGCGAATGCGCCGAAAATATTGACTCTCGCAGGCAGACGATCAGCAAGCATGCGAAGGATAGGGTCGATCGCCAATGCAAACAGACTGCCCGATAAAGGGCATCCTTGTTTAATACCACGATTCACGGCAAATTGTCCGCCACGGGCGCCACCAAATAATACAGATACCCGAACAGCGTGGTACAGCAGCCTGATACTCGCCCGAATATGCGCAGGAACTGCTAACATTTCCCAAATCCAGAAGATATACTCGTGCGCCAGTGTGGGAAAAGCACTCTCGTAGTCAAACAAGATAAATCCCGCATCCACGAAGCCATGCTGGACCAGCCAGTGAAGTACATAACCTTCCAGCTGCACAAGGTTCTGACTCATGGAACGATTCTTGACGAAGCCGCGCTGGAAGTCAACGCAAGATAGTTGGCAAGCATAGCCCATAGGCGCGTTGATGGCGGCCGATATCAGTTTGTTATCGCTGTTGCTCAAGGTTATTGGCCGTTTCTTACCAGGAGATCGGAATAGCCCAGCATGATCAGACTGCTCGGTGCCTTTTGCCAAAAAGACTGCGTCGCCTTCGTTAAAGTCTGGGTTCGAAAGCCTGCCTGCTGGAAGCTCACGATAAACAGTATACAGAAGGTTGTGCGCGAAATCACCCGCGCGGGCCATGGCAGAGAATGGCAACCCATCAGGACCTGGAGCAGCATCGCGTTTCTTGTAGATGAGCGTTGAGAACTCGTCGCGTTCGAGCGTCCACTGAATGTGGCCGGGAAGTAGACGCACATATTGACGAAGCTCGAGCCAAGCGTCAGGATCAGGAGAAACATGCGCATGCACACGGCCCCAGAACCACCCGAGATGTGCGCAGACCTCATCAGGGTCCGTGATGTGCTCGCCCGAGGGACCAGAAACATCAGCGAGAGAAATACGCCTCCTGGCCGAGCCCCAGGACGACATGTAGCTGCCTATCTTGACCCTCTCGAGTTGCTTCTGTGGCTCAGGGATCTCCTCCTCCTCCACCTCTTGCAGCCGATCCTCGAGAAGCCGAATGTTGAAGGAGGCGAGGTGAGCGTGGAACCCAGCCAGGTCCAGCCAGAGGAGCGAGTCGCCATCAATGAACGCCTTGAGCTTGGGGCAAGCGCGAAGCGCTCGCACCAGCAGGTCAACTTGGGTCCTATCGTGGGGCAACTGATTGACAATGCGCATGGCCGCCAGGGCCCACGAGATGAACTCGGGGGTGCTTGTGGCTCCAGCTCGCTCGAGTTCCCGTTTGACTTTTTGGGTTCCAGCGCGCAATATGTCTTTACCTTCCTCGAGAGCCTCGAAAGGGTCCAGAGAGCTGATGCCAACCTCATCGTACACCTCCTGGCACATGATGGGGAACAGGGGATGTTTGGAAATCCTCCGCGGGATACTCTGGACTCTCCGAAACAGCTTGGGAGAGAAGGACAGGGCAACGGGCAGGTGGTCGGACAGGGGCTGCTTCTCACAGGCTTTGCCGATCACGAACGAGTGAAGACCATAATCGAGTAGTTGAGCAGTGTACATGCTAGTTTATATACGATCCAGCCGAGAGACAGACACTACATGAGCAACACCGTGAATGGGGTCGGACCGATCGGGGATGTGGATACCCTGACGCGATAGCACCTGGTGGGTAGGATGTGGCTGCTCGATCTCGCACATGCTCGGAAACAGCCTGGAAAAGAACTGGGCCATCGCGTGCGAGGTGTATACCCGACGACCAGAAAGATGAGCACTCGCCTCCCCTTCCGCAACGAAATTGAAGTCTCCAGTGATGAAGCTCAGAGCGCTGGACTGCGGGGGGAGCTTGCTTTTGACTAGCCTCAGAAAATCTTTTTCCTCTGCTCTAGGTTGCTCAGGCTGAATATGAATATTGGAGACATGCATCGTACCATACGCGCCCGTACATTTTACCATATGAGCTCGCCCAGGGACCAGCACATGATGAGAGATATGGATAAATTGAGCACGAAAACTGGGATGAACCATGATAATGCAACCGCCAGCGGGGGCAGTTTCAGCTTCAGAATGAGGAACGTCGCAAAACGTGCCGCACCCAAAGCCAGCAACCGTTTCTTTCAGAATTTGTCGTAGATCATGTGGACTACCACGGGCTTCTTGAATGCAGACGATGGAGTGGCGGGAGACGAGATGCAGAAACCGATGCGTTGTTTTTCTCAGTAACTGCGGCGAAGACCACTGCGAGCCGAACAGGGACTGGGCGTTCTAGGACACGATAGAAAACTTGTCGCGAGGCCGAAAAGGCAGCTGCTGTGCTGCCAGAGGACTCGGGCCGCCCGGCGTCGGCGAAGACGACGAGCTGGAAGAAGACGACGGCCAGGAACAGCCAGAGGAGGAGGAAGAAGAGGAAGCCGAAGATGAGCTGGAAGTACTGCTGCTGCGCGTTCGAATTCGTGAAGAGCGTAGGCGTTTAAGCCCGCGGACTGAAGCGCACGCCGTAGTCCCACGGCGAGACCGCTTCACCCCAGAAGATCGGGCTGCTCGCATAGAATGCTCCCACAGCAGGCCCTCGCTCAGGTCGTGCTGACTGTCCTGCTTTGGAGCGTGTCACAGCGAGCCACGAGGGCCAACTGCCTTGCACCACTCCTTCATGCTCTCCTCGGGGATCTGGAACTGCGAGAGGTGACTAGACTCGGGCTCGATGACCCACTGGGCGTGGTCGAGCTCCTGAATTCGGGCTAGCACGAAGATGTCGTCGTTGACCGTGACGAACAAGAACCCGCGGAAGCCGTTGCAGCCGATCTGCCAGTGTTGGCCGCGAAAGTCGACGTTGTGCGACTTCCAGTGCTCGACGACCCTCTGCCAGACTTGACCGAGCACCTTGTGTCGCGCGCGAACGAAAGGCGGGGCGTCGAGCCTGACCCTCAACTCGACTTGGCCGAGCTTCGTGTCCTGGTAGAAGAGCCCCCTGGTCCTGGCATCCTCCAGGAACTTCTTAGCCTCGTCCTCATCTGGGAACTTGAAATTGCATGACTGAGAGAAATTGGTTGCGTGAACCGTGGCGTTCTTGGTCGTGTCCTGCGAGAACTGCTGCTTGACCCAGTCGGAGTGCCGTTGGAGAACACGGGCCAGCATTGGTCTCTTGAAGCCTCCGATCCACACCTTAGTTTTGTCGCCAGCGGTCTGCGGCGGGCGCGGGCGCCCATCAACTTCACGATTAGGGGAGCCGCCAGAACCTCCCGCGACTGAACTACCACCAATAGAAGAGGCAGCCGTAGAAGCCAACTGGAACTTTCGGTCGAGCTCGTCGAATTTGGCTCGAATCTTGGCGTCCAAGGCGGTGTCGAGAGCCTTGTCGACTGAGGAATGAATATCAGAGTGGATGGACTCGTATTGGCGCTGCATAGTTTCGAACTTGAGGTCGTGGTCAGCCAACTGCTGCTGCATCGCACCGATCGAGGCGCAGACACGATTCATAGGTTGGATGAGCGCCTTCAGCCATCCAGGTTGGGCAGACGGCGCGGCCTCCCCGTCCATCTCTTCGTCGGATCCCTGAGTGATCACGTCCACCATCGAGTCCGCTTTGCGTTTGCCGTTGAAGCCGTCGACGGGGACCGCACCAGAGTCGCCGCCCTCTGCGTCAGCTAAGCGATTTTCATCTTGGGAAGCGGCCGCAACAGCCGCACCAGAGAGGGCCATCGCGACAGGGAAACAAGGATGATGCTGAGAAAGACGGTGCAGCAAACTGGTGAGAGGTGTCGCAAAATGCGCGCAGAAGGCACGGTCACTGAAGCTCACGTGCCGCGAGGCCTGACCTCGCAAGAAGGCCGCTCTGAGCCGACCCCTCGGCACCGACCAAGCTCGAAACGCCAAAATTGCTACGGAAGAGGAGGAAGAGGAGGAGGAGGAGGAGGAGGAGGAGGAGGAGGAGGAGGAGGAGGAGGAGGAGGAGGAGGAGGATTTGGAGGAGGAAGAAGAAGAGGAATAACAGAGGAGGGGAGGAGGAGCGCCGCCAGGGAGCCCTGCAGGCCAGACGCCACCTCCCCCGCCCGCGCAGGCGGCGGCGGCGGCCGCGGCGCGGCGGGCCCGCGGCGCGGCCTGGGCGTCCACCGCGAGCCGGTGCCCCGCGGCCGCCGCGTGGTCCCTGCGCCGCCCGCCGGGGGCCCTCCTCTCCCCTCCCCTTCTCTCCCCTCCCCCTCCCCTCCCTCGTCCCCATCTCCCTCCTCCTCTTACTCATCCCCCTCCTCCTCCTCCTCCTCCTCTATCTATCTATCTACAGTTCAAGGCAGAGCGGTGATGCCTGTACAAAGCGGGATTGAAAGAGCAGGACGAGAGCAAGCAGGAAAAGGGGAAGGCGAAGATCCTCCTCCTCCTCCTCCTCCTCCTCCTCCTCCTCCTCCTCCCTCTGGGCTTGCAGCTGGGCTGTTGAAGCAAATGTTTACGTCGCAGCGCGGCAGTGGTCTAATGCGCACGCGCGCTCGGGCAAGCCGGGCGACGGCATTGCGAAAATGGACCGGGAGCGGGAGCGGAGAAAAACAGGGAGGGTAACCGCCGCGGGAGGAGGGGAGAAAGAGAAAGAGCTCGAGCGCTCACGCGGCGGCCCGGCCCCGCCTCCGAGTGGCCGGGCCGCGCGGCTGCCAAGGAGGCGGGCCGGCGGCTGGGCGATGGGCCTCTGCTCCAGTCCCGCCTGCTCGGCCCAGTGCTGGATGCGAGGTTAGCAGCTCAATTGTCTAGTCGGCGGCGAGCGAAGGGGGGAAGTGAGAGTGGGCGGGCCTTCTCAGAGGGCTCGGAAGTCCCCCTGGCCTTCTGAGAAGTTTTCTCTAAGTCTTCACCGAAGACAACATAACAACCTCTTTTAGAGGTCCCGAGGCCTTCTGAGAAGCCCCGCCGCCTTCTGAGAAGGCCTTCTCCTTCTCACTTCCCCCCTCGCTCGCCGACGATCTCTTTTAGACCGACTAGTACCGTAGCGTCCCGATGGTGTAATTGACAAGCTTCAACGTTGAAAAAAGCGATGGTCCACAAACGAGGCGGCATTGACCCAGACATGGGCGTTGACAAGCTGTGGCCAACACGTGAAGCTAGCTAGCGTCAGGTCGGGCATGTCCCCCTACAGGCGGATTCTGGAAGACAAGTTAAAAAAGCACCCCAGACATACTCCAACAAAATTCAGCAAATCGTTCCTGGGCTGTTTTTGTTGGACTATCCGCCGACCCCAGAGGCGTGTGAGGAAAAGTGCGTGCTCGAGCCTTTCATCGTGAGCTTCTCCTTTCAGCCATCCCCACCCACCACGACACCCCCAATCCTGAATCTCTAAGTATGGAGTCCTCGAACCTGCCACGCCCTCCTGGAACCCCCTTCCTGCTCATCCCCATCCCATGGAGCCTCTGTTCTTGGGACCCCCCACCCCACTATTCCTCGCCCAACACTGACTGCGCACCCCCCTGCCCCCGGCATCCCCGCCCCATGGAGCCTCTGTTCTTGGGGCCCCCCACCTTACCATTTCTCTTCCAAAACCGACCGAAACCCTCCACCGCGCCCACACCCGGCCCCGGCATCCACACCCCATGGAGCCTCCGGTACCCTCCACCTCACCATTTCTCGCCCAAAACCGACCGATATACTCGCCACCGCGCCCTCCACCACGCCCCGGCATCCACACCCCATGGAGCCTCTGTTTTTGGGACCTCCCACTCCACCATTTCTCGTCCAAAACTGACCGATACCCACCACCGCGCCCCCACCTGGCCCCGGCATCCACACCCCATGGAGCCTCTGTTCTTGGGGCCCTCCACCCCGCCATTTCTCGTCCAACGCCGACCGATACCCCCCACCGCGCCCCCACCTGGCCCCGGCATCCACACCCCATGGAGCTTCTGTTCTTGAGACCCTTACCATATTGCGCCCAAAACCGCCCACGCCCTCCACCACGCCCCGGCACCCACCCTGTCCTACCATGTCCTGGAGACCCAGGGTTTGGGCCTCCCCACCCTACCATTTTGCGCCCAAAACCGCCCACGCCCCCCACCACGCCCCGGCACCCACCCTCTCCTGGAGATTAGGTTTTGGGCCCTCCCACCCTACCATTTTGCGCTCAAAACCGTCCACGCCCCCCACCACGCCCCGGCACCCACCCTCTCCTGGAGACTCAGGTTTTGGGCCTCCCACCCTACCATTTTGCGCTCAAAACCACGCACGCCCCCCACCACGCCCTGGCACCCACCCTCTCCTGGAGACTGACGTTTTGGGCTCCCCCACCCTACCATTTTGCGCCCAAAGCCGCCCACGCCCTCCACCACGCCCCGGCACCCACCCTCTCCTGGAGACTTAGGTTTTGGCCCCCCCCACCCTACCATTTTGCGCCCAAAACCGCCCACGCCCTCCACCACGCGTCGGCACCCACCCTCTGCCCTACCATTTGGCGCCCAAAACCGCCCACGCACCCCACCGCGCCCCAGCATCCATCCTCTCCTGGAGACTCAGGTTTTGCGCCCCAGCCCACGCCCCCACTCCTCTCCTGGAGACTCAGGTTTTGGGCACCCCCACCCTACCATTTTGCGCCCACAACCGCCCACGCCCCCCACCACGCCTCGGCACCCACCCTCTCCTGGACACTTAGGTTTTGGGCTCCCCCACCCTATCATTTTGCCCCCAAAACCGCCCACGCCATCCACCACGCCCCGGCACCCACCCTCTCCTTGAGACTCAAGTTTTGGGCTTCCCCACCTATCATTTTGCGCCCAAAACCGCCCACTTTCTATCAGGTTTTGCCCCCACCCTATTTTGCGCCAAAACCGCCCACGCCCCCCACCACGGCGCACCCTCCCCTCACTTGAGGTTTTGGGCCCCCCACCCTACCATTTTGCGCCCAAAGCCGCCCACGCCCCCCACCACGCCCCGGCACCCACCCTCTCCTGGAGACTCAGGTTTTGGGCCCCCCACCCTACCATTTTGCGCCCAAAACCGCCCACGCCCCCACCACGCCCCGGCACTAACCCTCTCCTGGACGACTCAGGTTTTGGGCCCTCCAACCCTACCATATTGCGCCCAAAACCGCCCACGCACCCCACCACGCCCCAGCATCCATCCTCTCCTGGAGACTCAGGTTTTGGACCCCCCCCCCCCCACCCTACTACCATTCTGCGCCCAAAGCCGCCCGCGCTCCCCACCACGCCCCAGCACCCACCCTCTCCTGGAGACTCAGCTTTGGGGCCCTCCACCCTACCATTTTGCGCCCACAACCGCCCACGCCCCCCACCACGCCCCAGCAGCCACCCTCTCCTGGACACTTAGGTTTTGGGCTCCCCCGCCCTACCATTTTGCACCCAAAACCGCCCACGCCTCCCACCACGCCCCGGCACCCACCCTCTCCTTGAGACTCAGGTTTTGGGCTTCCCCACCTTATCATTTTGCGCCCAAAACCGCCCACGTCTCCCACCACGCCCCGGCACACACCCTCTCCTGGACACTTAGGTTTTGGGCTCCCCCACCCTACCATTTTGCGCCCAAAACCGCTCACGCTCCCCACTACGCCCCGGCACCCAACCTCTCCTGGAGACTCAGGCTTTGGGCTCCACACCCTACCATTTTGCGTCCAAAACCGCCCACGCCCCCCACCACGCCCCAGCACCCACCCTCTCCTGGAGACTCATGTTTTGGGCCCCCCCACCCTACCATTTTGCGCCCAAAACCGCCCACGCCCCCCACCACGCCCCGGCACCCACCCTGTCCTGGAGACTCAAGTTTTGGGCTTCCCCACCCAACCATTTTGCGCCCACAACCGCCCACGCCTCCCACCACGCCCCGGCACTCACCCTCTCCTGGCGACTTTGGTTTTGGCCCCCCCACCGTACCATCTTGCGCCCACAACCGCGGCGCGCCCCCCCACCACGCCCGGCAAACCCATCCTCTTCTGGAGACTCAGGTTTTTGGGCCCCCCACCCTATACTTCCTCCCAAAACCTCCCGCGCCCCCCCACCACGCCCCTCGACATTCACCCTCTCCTGGGCCTCCTGGGGCACTCACTTCTTGGGATCCCCACCCTACATTGGTGCCTCAAAACCCATCGACATAACCAACCACGCTCCGCCTTCCACCACGCCCCAGCATCGCTATCCCATGAAGCAGCTGTCCGCGGGGCCGCGCTCCCCGCCCTCCCCCCCCCCCCCCCTCCAAACACCGACCGCGACCCCTCACCGATCCCCGAGCCACGCTCCCAGCACGCCCCCGCACCCCCACCCCATGGAACGCCATGACGCGTCATCGCTACTTCGACTTTCCTTTCTTGGCCATCGATTCATAACTCCGATCGGCGACCTCCTTCCTTTTACGCTCTTCGTGCTCGAAGCACTTGTTGCACCGCTGCATTCCATTTGATTTCTTCGACGTCCGCTTGGCCAACCAGCGGTCGTAATCAGCTTTCGGGAACACGCCCTTGCAGCCGATGCATTTCCAACATCCGCGCTGCACTCTCGTCTTTTCGATGCAAACCATGCACTTGCGGTCCTGATCAGCCACGTTGACCCACATGCGCACCGAAAACAACTCCCGCCGCAGACATTCTCCGCACCCCGCGCACGTTTTCACATCCTTCCGGCCTTCAGCGACCCGCTCTGAGGCTGCGGCGTCGACGCACGTGGTACACGCTTTCGACGCCCCGTTCCTGAGCTGGTGAGGGGAAAACTCCTCCGTCGTCTTCGCCTCGCCGCACTTTGAGCAAATCACCCGTTTTCCGGCCTCGGCGCGCGCCTTCTCCTCCTTTCTCTGCGACTTCTTACACGACTTGCATGTCGGTTCATCCATGCACTGTTCCGCTTTAGGAAAATCGACACGCAACTGCTCCTGGCCGCAGCGCGAACACAGCAGGTGCCGCTTGGGCTCCTCGCACTCGAGGCACATTCCTCCTTTACATCGGGCGTTCCCTGCCTTCTCCCACTGCAAATACACGAACGCATTCTCGTACTTCCGCACCTCGCATACGTAACACTTTCGCCTCTCGGGACAGTCCACGCAACGCCGTGACGTGAGCTTCGAGCTGTCTGCCCACGCCCTCCACCACGCCCCGGCACCCACCCTCTCCTGGAGACTCAGGTTTTGGGCCATCCCACCCTACCATTTTGCGCCCAAAACCGCCCACGCCCTCCACCACGCCCCGGCACCCATCCTGTCCTA